CTTCTGCAACACTCACAACAATTTCATCCTTCATATCTGCATCATTACTCTCGGTCTTCCATCATTCCTGTTTTTGGGATAAAGTGACCCTGTTTCACCTAATCTGTCGAACAATCGTCTAATAGTTTTATGGTTTGGTTGCCTTCTAGTGGGATAAAGTTTACGAAAACAAAAATTTTTCTGGACATACAAACAGATCATATCGCGCATTTCTACATTAGAAAATTCACTATGACGTGGCCTTTTACGTTTATCTTAAGTGGTTTATAAAAAACCACTCTGACAAAACTCTGACAAAAGTAATGACTCACATTGCACTTTAACAACTAATAATAAATAAATCAGTTGTTACGTCTTGACGTTGCCATTAATTTATATAAATAAAAGAAAAAATAGATTTAATTTATAAGTTATTCCAAAACATGAGGTGCTACAAAGAAATATTTTAACAATAGTAAAACAGAAGTTTAAAATCTTTGAAAAACTGTGATTTAGCTGTAGTAAATATTATGTAAATCTCAATAACCCCAAATAACTCACTTTAAAAACTGGTGTTTAAAGACTAAAATCTTAAAACGGCTCGTTGGATAATTGCACTGAACGGCCCTTACTGAATATTACGTTATATTTCGCCGTATACCATTTTCCAATTACAAATATTAAAAACAAACACAACCCCAATTCAGATTTCGTGATTCCACTCAAGTAATACTGTCGACTTTTAAGAACATTTTCTCGAAAATAAACAACTTTATTATAACGAAGTTAATTTAAACTCATACAGAGCGGTAGATTGCCAAAACTCATGCAAAGGTATAAGAAAAATATAAATTTACATCAAGCCCTAACTGCTTTCTGAACCAAAAAAGAAAATTTGATAAAACATCTCATGGCTCCGTGATCCAATTTAAACAAGGTACAAGGAAAATAGGTAATGCCGTTATTTTCGCTTTTCTATGCATATAAGGGGAGAACGAAAACATCGCATTAGCTGAGAAACTGGATCCCGACTTGATATTTAATCAAAAGCTACAATGAAAGGATAAAATGCAACAGGAGACGCATTTTAAAAATTCCTATTTTGTCTCTAGATTGGGAAACACGATCAATTTTCGCATACTACTTACGTTATATAAAAATTGTATGAAACCATAAGCTACTATTAAAAACTTTAAAACTCGGTACCTAATAGTGACTACACTTATCGCTTTACCCAGAAATTTTGTACAATAAATTTCGGATGCATTGAATTAAAAGAGTATTATGATATAAATGTTAAAATGATACAATGTTTATGTAATGGAACCATTTTCACTTAAAAATACTTCTTTTTTGTAGAAGCTTAACTTATTTTAAGGCTTTTATATTCACCTCTAATTTTTTGTTACATGTCTTTTCTTCATTGTGGTCGTAGGATTTGTGGTTGCATGCTTATTTTTATATACTTAGTTTGTCGCTGTTTATTATTAAACCCGCTTTCGTAGCTGATTATTATAATGCCACATTCGCCTCTCGTACATCTTTTTCCAACAATATTGATATCATCAGCATAGGCAAGGATTTGCACTAATTTATTATATAACGAACCAATGGTTGTGATTTGTAATATACGTATTACTTTTTTATAGCCGGATTGAACAGTATAAAGAATTTGCCTGGTAGAGCCCGTTATTTATTTTAAAAGATTCAGACAGTTTCCCGTCAATTAGGACTCTTCATTCAACTTTTTCATAAGTTAGTTTTGTTAAAGCTACAAACTGATTTGGTATTCCTAGATCTTTCATTGGTTTGAACATTTCTCTTCTATTCTCAGAGCCGTAAACTGCTTTGTAGTCTATAAATATGTGATGAGTATGTATTCCATGTTCCAGTGATTTTTCTAAAATTTGTCTCAGGGTTGCAATCTAATGAATTTCCGATTTACTACCTCTAAAACCAGCCTGGTATTAATCTGCTATTCGTTCTGTATATGGTGCCATACGGTGACATAGTACTGTGCAAAATAGTTTATATGCTGCATTTAGAAGCGTAAGTCCTCTGTGGTCAGAACATTTAAAGACATCTTTATTTTTTTGTATGGTGCAAAGTAATCCCATAATATAATTATTGGGAAGAGATTCTTTGTCCATATTTCTTTTATAAGCTGTTGTAATGTCATTATGGTATCGTGGCCACCTTTTTTATATAGTTCAGCTGGAGAATTATCTATTCCGGGTGATTTGTTTCTGGCTAGTTTTTTAACTGCATCTTTAACTTCAAAAATCGTCGGTGTTTCCTCTTCTTTGTCGTCTGTTTCTCTTAACTTATCCATTATTTGTAATATTATACCATAATATAATTTTTGGCTTATTAGTGTTTTAGCCCATAACTCTAGCGTTGGGCATAGATGAAAACAGAAAAATAGATATATTTTTCTCTGAAGTGTAGGAAATCAATATCAGATGTTTTGAAAAACCGTATAAGCTTTCACCAATGCCAATGTTAACTGATTATCTAGTAAGTTATTGGCCAGTCCTATCAAACTTTACAAATTATCAGCTGTTACATTGCTAATAGAATTTTATAGTGGCTTAGAAAGTCTAATGACTGCTTGACTTGGAATAGCTTTCTTTGGTTCCTGATCAGAAAGATAGGTTTGGTTTGATTTCCGACATATATAAAAGCATTGAAGAAGTATTAAGTACGAACATAAACACGGAATACTTAAACCGTACTTAGCCGGTTTGTTTGGCTTATAAATTTTATTAGGAAAATTAACAAACATGATCTTCAATTACGAGAGGTTAAAAATTCGACAAGTCTAGACTGTTTGAGTTGCAGATCTAAACTTTTAATAGCTTTTCTGATTTCTTTCTTTTTATTTTTAGAGCTAAAATTATTTCACAGGTTTATTTGTATTATTTACTATAACCACGCCATTATTAGATTATTACAGTTTTTATAGTTTTTCCATTAAATTATAGTAAATTTTAAAAATATTTTTTTGTTTCAGGTCCGGATTTAATATTCTCCCCAATAACCAACTCGCAAAACAGCTTGGAGTTCTAAAACTGCTGACATATTTTAAAAATATGTGTAGCTTAGCACTAAAGATATAATTTAAGATCAACTTTTGTGCCATCTAGTTTGATAAATTATTAGTTTAAGCAACAAATTAATTATGGTAATGATATGTATATATAGAGAATGGTATATGTTACGACACTAAAATATAGGTAACAATCATTATTTTTGTATTAAAGATAACATATTTTAAAGAGTGTCAAACTTAAATTGCTGATCATGTTATTCTTAAAATATACGAGAGATGAAATATGTAGATATTAGCGACTAGGGAAATATATAAAACGCATTGTTGGAATGGTAAAGTACGATAGAATACAATAGGCTAGAGACTAGCAAAGGAGGCGAAAGTAGTGCTTATGTTAAAAAAAATGTCCAATTATAAATATAACAAAGTAATTTTTTGTTTTAGCGCAATTTAATATTACTGACATTGCGTCATTTTATTCTAAGAATACTTAAAGAAAGGAGAAACAATATCACATATTATCCAATATGAATTTTTATGTCTTAACCATGATTGGTATCATATAAAATATAGTTTTATTGTCAGATTTGGACCATATTAGGTCGTGTGAGATTTTTCCTTTTACTTTAATAGCCGATGGCATCTTGATAGTTGAAGGGATGTTTGGTTGTATTATATTATCTTAATGAATTTGGTGGTTTAATGTTCAATGTGTTAGAACTTCTATACAGAGTGCGGCAGATAAACGGCCAAAAAAAATATCTCGAGAACTAAAGGTAAAATATTCATGAAAATTGAATCGGTGAGATGAAAAAGGTACACATTCCAAAAAATGCGAATTTAAACTGAGATAGCCATTTTGTTGCTAGATCAAGTTCCATCTATGGAGTTGAAAAAGGTACACATTACATTACAAAATATTACTTATGCAGAGGTCAAAATATTCCGTTGAGTTGAAGAAGGAACACATTCCTGGAATGTGTCCCTTCTTCAACTCGACGCGTGTCACACAGCGCAAGTGTAGTGGGAGTTCGCACAGTTATCGTTTGCGCATATCCGGCTTCTACACATAAACGGCCAGTCATTTATCTGTTGTTGTTTAGTTAGTGTGGAGCTGTGTTATAACGTAAACAGTTAACAGTGAATAGTTATAGTGTGTTATTTGCGATGTCGAGTTCAGACAGTGAAAATGTAGAGCCACGCCGGAAGAAGGGAAAGTTAAATAAAGAATTACATGTCAGAGAGATGGAAAAAAAATTGCTAGACGCAAGGGTGAAGAGTTTGTTACGTCATCAGGGTAAACTAGTTGAAGCTAAACAAAACTGGCCCTGACTGTCAGTGTAAGAAAACAGTGTATGTCTAAGCTATCAGATGAAGACAAAAAACGTATTTTAGAAAAACTTTATGCTGGCCAATCAAAAAATGAACAAGACACCTTTTAATGGGGTGTATTGAAAGATTCGATGTCAAACGGCACAGACCAACAGTTGATCATTCAAAACAAATCAATGCCTCATTTAAGTATTATGTGATCGTGTCTGGAAATCGTTCAGAAGTATGTCGCAATGCATTTATAAGTTTGTATGCAATTTCAAACAAAATAGTTATCAGACTCACAAATCTCTTGGCGAAGGGAATGTCTCTCTTGACATGAGAGGCAAGCATTTAAATCGTGTTAATACTATTCCAACCACTATAACTACCAAAATACATGAACATATCGATTCATATCCTAAATATTTAACCCATTACACTAAGCAACCTATAACCTATTTGGATGCTAAGCTAGATGTACTGAAAATGTATGATATGTTTCTTCAAAAACACCCTGACCTTGTAACAAAAGTAAAGTACGAGTTTTTTCTAAAATACTTCAAAGAAAATTTTGGATATAGATTTGGGAAGCCACAAGTCGACGTATGTTCAACTTGCGAAGACCTTCAAACTAAACTAAAATCCACTACATTGAATGATAAACGCTAAACGTACCGCTCCTGCAGAGCTAATAGTGCATAAGAGACGTGCAAAAAAATTTTACACTAAGCTAAATGAAGTGAAAGAGTCGAGTAAAACTAGACCTAATGTAATGGGGATAGTTTTTGACTACATGCAAAACTTACCGCTACCCAGTTTGCCCGTACAAGAAATGTTTTTTCTGAGAAAGTTATGGTACTATGTATTTAATGTTTATGATTTTAAAAACGATAGGGCAGTATTCTACACATACCCCGAAGGTGTTGCAAACAAAGGACCAGATGAAGTCACCTCTTTTGTATTAGATTTTCTTCAAAATGAAATCCCTGCAGAGATTACGGAACTCCACATTTTCAGTGACGCATGTGGCGGCCAAAACCGCAACCACACTATGGTGAGGGTACTTTCAGCCCTCACTATGACCGGTAGATTTACATAAATCCATCAATATTACCCGGTAAAGAGGGCATAGCTTTTTGCCATGCGATAGAACCTTTGCAGTTATTAAGAGAGCAGTACGAAAAATATGATCGCATTTATTCTCCAGACCAATACAAGGCCATCATAGAAAACTCCAAAAAGATTCAACCAACTTACAAAGTAAAAGAAGTAAAAAATGAAGATGTACTAGCCTGTAAGAAGTGGTGGCCTCTTTACTTTGTTAAATTACCAAAAAGCCTTGAAGATAAAAGAATATCTTTTGCCATAAGCAAATATAGTTATCTGATTCACAGAAGTGACCGGAAAGGATACGTGGTAGCGTCATCGTTCATTGGTGGTTTTCTCTCACACACCTTTAAACTTACAAAATCCAATGATGTAGTGCTTCCTTCAAGCAAGGCTTACGATTATGGAAAGGTACCTATTAAGGTAAGCAAGATCAATGACGTCATGAAACTCATCAAATACATTCCAGAGGAATACTTGCCCTTTTATGATGAACGTCGTACTTGGCCAACGACAGAAGCTGAGACCTCTGATGAAAATGATGAAAATTAACTTTCCATTATTGTGCTGTAAACTTTTTTTATAAATCATGTATGTATTTTAATATTATATTGCTATATTTCAAATTATTTTGTTTCATGATGCCTTAAAATCTCATTTGCAAGATATTGACTGTAAAAAGGGACACATTCCATTATCTAAAATGGTAATAACTCAGACATAGTATTAAAAAAACCAAAATAACCATAACAGTTGAATGTCTTCCATTTACTTGTGAAACTTCATAATGGAACCATTTTCTGTAACATATTTAGTTTTGCAGATAAACAGTTTTTTTAGTTCCTGAAAAATAGCCATTTTGGAATGTGTACCTTTTTCAACTCACCGATTCAGTTGGAATGAAGGGGTTTTGAAGAGTTACCTATTTATTGAAAATATTTTCATGTCAAAATTATCATAAAACAGGCATCCTAAATTTTCGCCTAGCTTTTTTTCCAATGGGACAGACACCCTGTATTTTACTCCCTCTTTTTGATAAATATGTTTTTCACTATCGATCTGTATTATTGTTCCGTATACCTATCTCTTAAAGTTTATAAATAAATTAACTTTATACATTTTGGTCACAATTTTGTTTTCTTTTTCGTACATTACGTAGTGTTACTGTACAAATTTCATAATGTAAGTTAGACATTAGGCCTTATCTTATTAATGTAATTATTGTTCGAAATTTTATCCAATCAACAACATCCAATCATTTATAAACTCTTTTAACCCTTCGTTGGGCACGTGGTAAACTGAGACACGGTTGGTCACGCGGTCTATGATCGGAGACCATTTAATTTATATTATTAAACATAAAAGTTTCATAGTTTTAATAATAATACTGCATTAGGTATATTTGTTGGACTATTGTTTATGATACTGACCAGTTTTTTATAACAAAAGGTTTCCTTATATAATAAAAAGACTAATACATACATTGAAAAATTTTCATTAAAAAAAACTTTTTGTTAAAAAAACTTTAGTATAAATTTGACAAAAGAAGAATTGTTGTAGCTAAGAATACATGGAACAAAATCACCCAAAATCACATAAATAAAAGTACTGTTAAAAAAGTATATGAATTATATGACAGAAAACATAACATTTTTAGTCAGTTAAACAATAATTAAACAATTAAACTGACTGTATACAAAACACTAATAAGACCAGTGCTAACATATGGTTTTGAAACTTGGACACTAACACAAAATGACCAAGAATTGCCCAAACGTTTTGAGCGAAAAATACTAAGACGAATATATGGAGGCATAAAATAACAAGGTTTGTGGCGCAGGTGTTACAATTTTGAGATGTATAGAAGATTTGGAGAACCTGAAGTTGTAAAATGCATTAAGGTAGCACGCCTCAGATGGATCATGTAATCAGACGAGAGGAAGATGCCATAGTCAGAAAAGTTTTTGACCGAAGAGGGCCGATCGGACAACGAAGAAGAGGAAGACCGAAACTTAGGTACCAAGAAAACCTAGAAATTCATTTGCAGTCTATCGGAATTGGAGCATGAAGAAGGGTTGTCAGAGACAGGGGCGAATGGAGGATTGTTCTGAAGAAGACTTTGGCTCATAAAGAGCTGTAACGCCACTGATGATAATGAAAACAATCATTGCAGATTTCTTTTATGTGGTTTTTGCATGCAAACGCTCCGCACTTCACACAAGACTTTCTAGAAGATTTGTTTAAATTTAGAGGACTTACTTTTCTTTGGGACATATGCTACTATAGTACAATCAGCTTAAAAACCAAAAAAATACGATTTAACTTCTCGATTTTTCAGGGGGCAGAAACTCCTGAGAAAACTCTAGTTTATTTTTTTTACAGTACTCAAATATGTAAGTTTTTTCTTTAGTAAACTGTTGACCGTTTTCAAAGTGAATTTGTAAAACGTTATTGCGCCTGCTAGAGTAAATGTATTAATGTCATATATGGCTGGCTTCGCTGGAATGTACTGCTTAAACTTACAACGTTCCCTAAATGTTAATAGTTGTGCATCTACTGTAAGATTCTCACTAACAATAAAGTTATTTTGGAAATTTGCCAAAAATATTTCCACAAGTTCTCTGATGGGTGTATGTTTATTAATTTCTCTTCGCTGTTTTCTTGCCTCCACATCATCGAACTGTAGATATCTTATAAAAAATCAAGTTTTTTTCTCGCTTATTGCCAGGTAGCATGACTCAACTCCGGATCCTTGAGAATTATCTCATATTTTAAGTAAATTTTTGTTTGAGACTTCTAACAATACCAATAAAGAACCTTATCCTAATACATGCACGAATTTTAGTTTCATTCGTTTGTCTCATCATCATCATCATATTTGGCTCTACAACCCTGGGTGGGTCTTGGCCTGTTCAAGAATTAGTCTCCATTCCCCTCTATCTTTCGCTCTGGCTTTCCAATTTCTGACCGCTAGATTCTTCAAGTCATCTTCGACTTGAGTTTTGAATCTAGATCTTGGCCTGCCTCTCTTCCTGGTTCCTACTGGTTCTTGATATAATATCTGTCTTTGGGGGTCTCCAGTGTAAATTCTTTCAAGGTGTCCTAGTCACTTTAGTCTGTTAATTTTAATAGACCGGACGATGTTATATTTTTTATAGCATTGATACAACTCAAAATTGTAGCGCCTACGCCATAACCCGCTTTCTTGTACTACTCCTTATATGTGTCTAAGTATTCGTCTTTTAAAGCGGCCTAATAGTTCTTCGTCTTTTTACCATAGTCCATGTCTTTGACACGTATGTCAGGACAGGTTTAATAAGAGTTTCATATAGTAGTATCTTCGTTTTTCTGCTAATTATGTGTAAAGAACTGCTTTAGTCCAAAGTAAGCTGTGTTCGCCAGGCATTCGTTTGTCTACAATAATAATTTCATTGATAATTGCTCCGTATTTTATTAATAAAAATAATTGTCTAGACGGTTATTACTCTTACAATTCCAAAATTAACTTCAGAAAATCAATTTGAGTTTCAATAGTGCGTGCGTCTCCGTTCGTATCAAGCATAAGTTTGATGGGATTCTGAGAATGGATACGAACTTGTAAATTGGACCTATTCTTTTTTCATTTATTCGCCCTGTCTTTTTCCATGCACAAATTTGAAGGACGTGCTTTATCAGAGTTGTCTGACGTTTCTTCATCTTGGGCCAATTTCTCTTGCTTCGATGTTTCTAATTCAGAGTCTGTTTCGTGATCACACCTTTCAGCAAAATTCACATTCACATCGAGATCATATTCGGACTCATCATCACAGTTTTCTTCTACTCCACTTGATATCTCCTTAAACCATCGACTTCTCAAAAACTCTTTAAACTTGCGGATCGTTATTTCGTTTCACTCTTCTTCTTTTATTGTCAGACATTGTATTATCTAAAATATATCACAGTAACTACAACTATATCAAATGGTAATAAATAAAAGTTACCTTAAATTTTGAAACAATAGAATCAAATATCTGCATTGTAGTCAGATGTTGGAACGTCACTGGACACGTGGTCTCCAACCGTAGACCACTACTGTTCTATTCTTGACAAAATACTCAACTGAAGTGCAAAACACAAATAAAACCATAAATTAAAATAAGACGCACGTTAGCAACAAATACTGAGATAACAAATGTAAGAGAAAATGACAGAGATATACAAGTGTTTGAAAAGATGCCACGTGCCTAAGATTCAGGTGCCCAAGGGTTCATCAGATGTTCTTTAGTAGCTCTTGGTATTGATTCTATATCTATATTTTGTTAAGAATTTGAAGGACTTTATTTATCATAGCTTCCTCAGTACTGACAGGTTTAAAGAACACCTGATTTCTAACATATCTCCAAATAGTAATCTAACGTGACAATGGGAACATGGTGACCAGAGAAACGAATCTTAATTAATTATTCGACTGTCGCTTAATATTTCATCAAGCAAATGGCCGACTTCTCGAACATTCTGAGCCGGTGCTTTATTATATTGAAACCAAGAATCGTTAGCCTTAATTTTATGTAAAGCGTGCAGTGCTGGTACAATTACTTGCCGCAAAATGTTGCAGTAAGGCTCTCAATTTAAACTTGCTTTATAAATCATGAGAGCGACATTTTTTTTTAAAGCACAAAGAACATTGAACAAAAAGTTTGCTTTAAATTTATTATTCCACATGAGTTGACTATTTTTATCCCTTGAAAAGTGACTCATGGCGATTAAACTTACCATTTTTTATAAACTTCGATTTATCAGATATTTTTTTTGTAAAATCTTGATCTTGCCATTTCACAAAAACCCTTTTACAAAATTCTTCAAGTCTTACATATTTTCCAGAATGTAAATGTTAAACTAGTGTATACGTATAAAGGATCCAATTATGTTTGTTAAAATTCTGCGAGTAGTCGTTAGCTATAATTGCTCACATTTTGCTGAATTTAAATTAGCTGCAAAATATTCCAGGATATTTATTTGTAAGTCTTTAATATCGAAGTAATTCGTTTTACTTATAAACTAACCAAACTGGAAACATTTGTTCAACAAACGTTTTACACTTTTATCATTTGGTCAAGGCTTCTCAGGATATCTCTCAGCAAAAACATCGCATGTTCTGGATATTATTTTGTTAAAACTCACCCTAAATTAAAATTGAATTTAAAAAATTATCATTTGTATATTCTAAATAAGCCAATATTATTTTGTCAAAAGAATTAAGCAACTTATTATTATAAATATCACCCAATAGCATACAACAAGATGACTATTAAACATTGACAATAACTCATATGTTTGTCAAAATATTCTACAGCCTACTAGATAAATAAATTTTTTGTGACAAAAAAGTATAAAGTTAATTCATTTGAAAACTGAAATAGATATGTATAGGGAATACTAATACAGATCGATAGTGAAACATTTTTCTAAACTAATGAATCACATGCTCAAATAATTGCATGAGAGGATATTGAACTTTATATACATGGTAAAAAAGTGTAATGTTCATATAAAAACCATTAAAACTCAAAAAC